TTTTAGATAAACAACCAGTTTAGTATTACCAGCATCAATATTGATGCAACATTGATCAGTTACCAGCCAACGTAACTCCAGTCCCACAGTAGATGTTCTTGAAGTGAGTTCTTACACAGGGAGATGATAATAGTTAAGAACAAGTTGTACATGGTTTGATTAGACGTGTCATATACAGTGCACAACTCTTTAAAACTTACATATATGTCTGTATTACAGATAGCCGTTGTTTCACCTAATCAACTGCTGTTTCCAAGTGTCACAATTTGTAATACCAACAAACTACGACGATCTAGCGTACGGAATTCGATTTACAGTGATTTGCTGGTTGTGGATACTGACTTCGTTCTACCATACTATGGTAGGTAGTGTGCAATGTGTACTAGTAAGACTACGCATCGAATAGAAAACAAACTATTTGATAATGATTATCGTGATTGTTTAAATAGTTAGGCTGGATGTGCTGAAATTTGTAGTCAATGTTATACAATTTGCCGTAAGTGTTACAGAAAGTTGTAGAGCCTTGTTATCAATATATGCATTCCTCTGGCTGTATCAAATTGTTTGAGCCCTTGATGTTGTTTAATTAAAAATCGATGTCTGGTTGTATGAATTCAATAAATGTATTGATTAATTCACTTTACTCTACAGTGCCCTGTATGGATGGCGACTTCAACTGTACCAATGGTATACACTGTATCAAACCATATCTTGTGTGTGATGGAATAATTCATTGTGAAGATAAAAGTGATGAACGTGATTGTTTTTATGGTAAGGCAAAACGGGATTAATCAAAATCAACTCAGCGCAAGTTTTTTTCGAAGATTTAGGTTTTCAATTACAGTATTACAGACAAAAATATACTGGTCTCAGTACGGTATGTTATTTAGAAAGATAATGTTGATACTGTTGAATATAATTAACATTTGGGGATTGGCGTCGTGTTCGCTGTCTGCCAATGTATCTTGATAACAGCACGTGAAGATATATCCTCAATTACAATTTAATGACAGTCCTGCGCAAGTACATTTGACTTCAAGGTTTAAGTTTAGAAGCAAATATATCAGGGTATAATAATTCAATTAATCTACCGATATTTACTATATGGGCAGCCATCTTGAATAGGAATATAGAGATAAATATAGAGACAAGTTGAGAAACGTGTTTTTCAGATTCCTATAAATCAGGAAACAAATATCTACTTTCACAGCAAAACGATCCGTTTGGCAACATAAAGCCAACTGCTAACGAAATTCGGCCGAATGCCACTTTTTTGTGTGCAATATTGACAAGCATACGAACATCCATTAACACGAAGAACATAGAACACTTTTCTTGGGTTTTAGAATCCGATATCGCCATCTAACTGTAAGTTCGTCAATGATTGGCACCTGAGTTCACTTATTTTTCCCTACCATTCGGAAGTAATGTACATGGTTCGGCATTTGTCGTATCACCCTTATACACATTCTCATTGATAACAATTTTGCTTTACGACATATTGTGCTCATTATAACCACATAAAACGTTTGATGAATATACATTTATTTATAACAAACATATTGATCGTTTGAAAGCTTGTATCTGGTAATAGGCAGATCATATGTTTCACTACACATCGTTATTTGTGGTGTACATGCTACATTTAAAAAATATTAACAAATACATTTAAAAAAAGAAACATGCTTTGATTTTTTAGAGGAGTGTGGAGATGATGAATTTCATTGTGAAAATGGCAGTGAACGAGGGAGGTGTATACCCTCGAATTTGGTTTGTGATAAAACTCTCGACTGCTACGATGGTCAAGACGAAGATAATTGTGGTATGATTTGATTTTAACTACTTAAAACAAACACTGGTGAAATTCTGATTGTGTAATAAACAATATATATACATATTATAATACACTATAGGAGCTGCAAACTTACAAATCATTTTATTCATATTTTTAGAATGTGACGTAACAAAAGATCATAGATGTATCATTTCATTGGAGTGCATTGCCAAGGTCAAAACATGCGATGGTGAATACGATTGTCGAGATGGCAGTGATGAAAGCAATATAGTCTGTGGTAAGCATGTATTGTTTTAATTCAAATTAACCGCGAGTGATATTTTATGCAAAATACATAGGGCATATGTAGATATATATCATTATTCATGTTTCACTTAACTCAGGCTTGCACGCAAATCAAATTATCTTAGTAAAGTGGGTAAAAGAGTATAGCAGTTTAAATTTCTAATCCACCAAAAAACCCATCAAAAGTTGCCTTATAAACAGGCATTTATGTCATTATTAATAGACCACCCAAATTTCCTTTCACCAATATCATTTCCATATATACAAATGCTCCAGCCAATGTAAGATTTGACTTCCTTAACTAAACGTGTAGCATTAGAAATGAGTGTCCAACTTCATTGAGCAATACCATCGGCTAAATTACCATCAGAAACGACCATACGTGAATACCCGTATGTACGAGGCCCGTGGATTCAAGTAAAGAAAACTGCATACAGTATATAATTACGAATATGCAGAAAACATTCTCTTAGAGCACTGTTTGTGACAATTGCCTCACTCTCTGTACTGATGCTTGATAGTCAAGGAAGAAATTGACTGAAGCATTCCAAAGTACTAAGTTGTTGTCGACAAGCTGCAATGTCCTGAACAGCGATTAAGACTTAACTCACAAATTCACGAGGACACATATACAAACGATATGCAAAAAACAAGCAATGACCACAAACATATTTGAAAAGTTGAAGACATTACAAAAAAACACAGGCATATAAATACTAACTTTGTGGGACCTTTATTTGCAAAAAGTAATCCACAGTTGAGAGACAATAATAAAATAAAACTGTTTCCTTTTCAACAGAGATCCCCTTGATGAATATTGCACCAATAGCCCCAGCCACGATGCAAAGTGGCACATACGCAAACGGTACAGACCCTGACCAGGCACGTGACGGCGATCTCGACACATGCTCTGTGACGTATAATATTTATCAACCATATTGGACAATTGATTTGGGTTCAACAGTCTTGGTACATGAAGTAACTATAACGCATGATGGGAACTATGTATGTAAGTCGAATTGTTTATACATTGATGGATTGTTTAAACTATGTAGATGAACAACGTAATTGTTTGATTGATGGATTGTTTAAACAACTTAGATAAACAACGTAAGATCTCAGACTGATTTACATATTCATATTACATGCCTCTCGTTCTACATGAATATAGCATGATTAATATCTGATGACCCTTACCACGCGCACTAGTTTTAGCAGTTAAACATTTGTTCCATACCAATTCCATTAACAACGGTGTAATGCGATACGATGATGTATGAAAGTGACAAACTACGAAACAGAATGCAAATACAAACAATGTAGTCAACTAAATACTACTCACATCATACAAGCAAATAAACAGCGAATACACTTAAAATAATATAAATAAATTGAGTTAATGGATAATTACAAGGTAAATACATACTTCATCAAATTTATAATTCAAATTACGAGTTAAACAAACAAAACGATTTCAATTTGCACATGGCAATATAGCATGATGAGTGTACAACAAAGATGACAAATCAGCACAAAGATGGTAAGTATTTCTATTCGGACTCAAATATGTCGAATAACATAGCACATAAATGACCGCGAATAAGCTGACAATATAGTGCAACAACTTAATAACACAAAACCAAAGCACAATAACTCAGTAGCAATTCTATCTTCACAAATGAACTGGTAAATACGCAATGAAATACAAATGAGTTGTGCACACCTCCAAGTCCAGTAGTACACTTATCAAATCCGACCACACCTAGCCAGCATGACAATTAGCATGACAAGGATCATTATGCCAGTAAGCAGAAACATACGAATATATGTTCCCCGGGTGAATGAGGGAATTTGCCAATCACAGCACTTACATAGAAATGCTGGATTTGCAGTCACGGATTCAGACTGTTAATGTTCTATAGCAATTGGAATATGTTTATGTCTTAATACAAACTTAAATGACTCCTTTAATTATGGCCGACTGGATTTAGAATATGTGTTGTATTAACGAGTTACTTATTAAAGAAGTTGTCCTTACTGATAGTTAAAGTAGTGCTACGAGGACGCTAGTGGTAGTTAATAGCCCGGATAATTGTCCAATATTTTGTTTTCTGGACTTGGTTTATGCAAGAAAACCCTATTTATGAAATAAACGAAATCAAAAATAATCCATGAAATATACATACAATCCATAGATTGCATTGAATATCTAAGCTCCATAACGAACCATACAAATCTAGATTTATTGGTGGATCATTTAAATGTTCAACCAAAGAGTTATCAGTAAACTATTACCATCTACTTTGCCTACTATTAAAGAGAGACTTAAAATACTTTGTTTCATATTTCTAGAAGTGGATATAAATCATAAGATTAAGTATACGATACCTTTCAATTTAATTTAATTTTGTTTCCTTGTATACCAATCTACCATATGATAAATTAAAATTAAACATGGTTGTCGAGTTTGGAGAATATATTTTCCAAACATTTATCAGCATCCCAATAAAACCATTCCAATGTGATCCTTTTATTGGCTATCCGACGCTAATAATGCGATAAAAACTTGTTTTACAACCGTTATTTCATTGACTGTCAGTTACATTTCTGTTTTGGCAACAACTAACACAATCAATATTGTGTATTGAAAATATGTTTGCTGTAGCACGAATATAATACGTTAGTTGGTTATTTGTGTAAATATTGTATTACTAGTTATTATACATACAGTGGTGTCAGTGTTGTGTGTAGGGCACTTGTCTCTTAAATTTCTAAGCCGAGACATGATTTACTACGAATACGGTATGTATATAGGTATATTGTGACACATACGTACATACATGGCATCATTATATATTCAAGATGCAAGTCTCACTGGCGCTGAAATAAGAGTTGGCGGAAACAACTATTTCCTAAACAATGAATTGTGTGCGGCGAGACTGCTACCAACTCAGACATCTAGTTTGACATTCACCGTAGAATGCGACAACCCATTATATGGACGGTATTTAAGTATCCAGGTTATGGAATCGTCACAAGTTTTAATATTATGTGAAGTGGAAATTATGGTGGTGGGTGAGTTTAGAGTTTTCATATATTTAAATGATACTGAAAATGAATAGGAAATATGTTGTCATTTGTTTATTTACTTACTTGATTGCTTTATAACGAATATCCACATATCGCTAAACACCAATGCAAAGAAATCCTCTTATCGACTTCAGAAAATGCTTTATCGAATGTGGCGTATGGCAAAGAGGCCGAACAAAGTAGTCAGTATAAAGATGGAAGCGCCATTAAAGCTGTAGACGGTGATACAAGCAGTGATTACTCTCATCATAGTTGTATGCATACCCAGTTAGAATATGAGCCGTGGTGGAGAGTTGATACTGAATGTGAGTGTGGAATAGAATATATTGTGATCACCAACAGACAAGATTGCTGCAGTGAGTACATATCAACATGATATATCATTTTGAGTTTTGTGATGGAAATTTACACAAATTCCATCAGAATAACGGTAGTCGACCCTTTTGTAGATTTAAAACTATTTATAATGAACTATATGTATTAGCCGCTTAACCGTTATTTTAACATCATAGCTAAGTATTTTCGTTGTGTGAAAAATGTTGCGCTTATGAACAAATGCTTCGTATATTTTAGGCGATCGTTTAATTGGAGCGGAAGTAAGAATTGGATATAGTAGGTTTCTTAATGAAAGTAATACATTATGTGGTATAGTAACACGTGAGAACATCGAGGAAGTTGACATTGTCATTAACTGTGGCGATACCATTGTAGGAAGATATATTAGTATTCAGATATTTAACAGAACAGACTACCTCCATGTCTGTGAAGTGAAAGCATTCGGCAAAGGTATTTTATTTTATTTATTTATTAACAATTTTCGGTAACAACTATTTCCTAAACTATGAATTATGTGCGGCGAGACTGCTGTCAACTCAGACTTCGAGTTTGACATTCATAGTCGGTTCTTTGGATATTTGTTTATTTATTTATTTTTTCAACCATATCTACAAAAAACTTTTTTTTTAATTTAACTAATTTACAGTCTTCAACTTTTGTTATTATTATACTTGTTATTGTAATTTTTGTTTGGATATAAATACATTTTGTTTTACTTGCTGTAATTAAGTTTTTTTTAAGTATGGATGTCATAGTAACGTGATATGTGAAGTCAAAATGTTGACCTGATTGATGACGTCGCCCCGCTGCGACCTCTGGTGGTCATATAGCATACCTATTTATGAAAATGATAGCACGTCGTCTATATCATAGAAGTTACGTTTTTATCTCCATAACATGGCTGTAAATTAGTAACGATGTTTTATCCATTAAGTAATTATTCTTCAAATTATGAATATGTTAATGCAATAATTTATTTCTAAATTTGCAAGTAATGAAGTTTAAATAACAACTAACTCAGTGTTCAATCGAACTGATTGTAAAACTATGTATACATTCAATTTAGTGCATTTTGCATGTACTTTGTATATTTTTGTTAGGCGCGTAAAAGATTAACCCAATCTTACTAACTTAATTAGGTGAGCATCTCTGACTTTTTTTCTAAAGAATAGGTAAGCTGTTGACAAGGTAAGCTGTTGACTTGAAATTATGGCTTCGATACAACCAACGAAAATATTGCAAGATGCTACTGCAAAATAACGCTGATACAATTTACAATATTTGAATATTACAATATCATCAAGTACGGGTATCTCATTTACTTTGTTTAGTGATTATTGATTTCAGATATCTACATTAATATGAAACGGTTTATTTAGTGCAGGAATGCACTGATCAGCAAAACAAATGCAGTCTTCAAATCACCTGTGTCTACCTTTTGTATGTCTACGTTCATTCTGAGACCGCAAACTAACAATAATGAAAAAAACTTGGAGTTGACATAATAAGCTTATAACCATGTTGGCGGTGATAACAATTGTTCAGGGTTGACCAACTCTTACAGCGAATGACGAAAGTAGATTGAGACACGACTCTCAACACAGACTGTGAGCCAGACGAGGTCAGTGGACGATTAATTATTCATTGTAGTGTCCCTTGACATCCAAAATGTTGTTTGAGGTTGAAAATGTCCTACGAAAATTATTAAATGTTAGTTTAGACAACGAATCAGGGTAATAACTTGTTTTGGTAGCTATACGTTCATCGCCGCTAGCTGAGTTTTTTTTTTTTTTTTTTTTTTTTTTTTGTATTTATAAACTTTTAGTGGAGTTTGCACTGAAATTAACATCTTACATACCGGGTTTTTACATTACAAGTTGCAATTAATCTACATATTGTGAAGTGGATTGGGTAACATTTTTCATAAAATATCCCCATTTCTTGTTATGAGAAGTCAACCTATTCCGTCGGACAGCAATGAAGTACTCCAGGAAATATTTGACATATCTTTTGTATGGCATGAATTCTGGCTTTTGATTTTTATGTCTACACAAGTAAATTTAGTTTTTGCTACCAGAAAGAGGAAGTTGACTAAACATGTAAAGTTTTCATCCTCAAGAAGGATTTGTTGTGCTTTCGGGTATACCCTCAGGCCAAGCTACCCCCTCAAAGCATGTATAGTGTTTCCCAAAAATATTGGGTGCATTGACATTGGTAAAACAAATGGATAAGAGATTCAGAGCATGAACAGAAAGTACAAAGATCAGACTCCACAATGGGAGGGTTGATCTTGAATAATGTTTTGTTTGTGGTCAGAATAATATGAATTATTTTGAGTTGAAATTCTCTGAGGCCTAGCTGAGTTTTCGGTAAGTGCCTTATGTTGTTTGTTATTTCTCTCCGTGTAAATTTTAAAGAGTTTTAACTCGTGCTCTGATTGGTTGAATCACGCGAGTCAGATGTAGTTCATACGATTGAGATACATTATGTAAAAACAAACTTATGACGGCAATTAAAGCACAAATATATGCATATATAAACAAAAAAACAATAACAATAATAGTAAAATAAAATAATTGGAATTTTTTTAATCAGATTGCTTGGTATAAAACTGATTACATTCAAGGCAGATATTGATCGAATAAATAATGTATACATATATTTATTT